GATGGACTGGTGTCCTGTCCAGGGTGTGGTCCTGCCTTGTGTCCCGTGATGGACTGGTGTCCTGTCTTGTCTTTTGCCCCATAGTTATGAAATATCCTGATAATGGATGGGTGAATGGCCTTAGAATTTTGTTCTTTTCAAATATTGGCAGTTATTCTGTTCTAAATGATAATTTATAAATTATTATTCTATGTATTTTATTATAAATCCCCATTTTATAATTACAGATTGTCAGAAAATTGTCTGGCATTAAATATTATAATGCCATTTTATAATTTATACTATAAATTTTATATAGTTGGTGATTGAATTAAAAGTAATAGTTTTCAGCTAAACCTAGTTTGTGCTTGTATTTCCATTGTTTAATCTACAGTACAGAGGAGCACCAAAGACAAATGAGAAAAATGCAACTTAAAATTGCAACTCACAAATATATTTTCAGCATGCTGGGGTTTAGAATGTTTGTGCTCTGTGTTGTGTAACTACAATCATGTAAAATTGAATGACGACCATTCCTAGTTAAAACAGATTTTGGCATTTCAAAATTCTGCTTTGAATTATCACAAAATTTAGTGGATTTGTCATGTGTAAAAATATTTTGAGAAATTATTGGCCTCAAGTGTGCCTCAAACCATTCCTTCGTAGGACACATGAACATTCAGAATTTCATGATAGTCTTGATAAAATCAGGATGTTTTAGCACAACCCAGAAAAATGTATCTATATTGAGCCCCAGTAGATTGTTCTCGCTGTACAGTATCTATGCATTTACATATGCATTATGCTGTGATGCACTTGAATGAATTTGACTGGTACTGGTACGTGAGTTCTAAATCACCTAATTAGAATAGATTTGGTGATGCTGGCTGAGGTTATTTAAAATGCCAAATGTTAAGTTAGGTGAATTTTTTTTAAAAAGAACACAAAAAGCAACTGCAATGCTCCACTTATGCAGACAATCTCTTCATGCTGTAAGGATGTTCTGTGCTGGACAAAGTCACCTCAGAGGACTCGCAGGCACGTGTGTGAGCGCAGACGTGCAGTTGTTATGCTAATTGTTGTGCACAATGGACCAATTGATGGGGAGATCCAAGTGTGATCCGCTTGTTTAGAGGGTCTTGTCACTACATGACTCCATGTGCAGTGATTAATGGCCTGACCTGCCCTACACTGGGTCAGTCCAGGGAGGTCACATGCTGCCCTGCTTGTGGGCCCATCCCGATGTGACTCCTATAAGGGCAGGGCACATCGTCTCGCTGCTTAGGTAACAACAGCAGTCTTGCAAGATGACAGGAATGTTGAACCGAGGATGCAGAACTTGCCAGACATGAGCCCCATTGAACATGTGTGGGATGAGCTGGGATCACGTCTGGCACCCAGGACCCAGAGACCACTGAACACGCACCAGTGCCATTCGGAGGACTGAAACTGTTGCAAAGCACTTGCCACATATATACAGCTTAGAGTGCTTCCAGCTCTGGCCACACATGCTACTAGCCTGTGACCTCCACTGTGGACCCCCAGTTGATAATAATCAGGATAATGAACTTGCCCCCAATGTATTGTAGGGGTCGGAACACCTGCTAAAGAAAAAAGATGATCAAGTTTCCTGATAACTCTGTTAATCTGTTGCAATTGGGAGTGAAAAGTTTCTTTTAATGCTCAGTCTGGATTTTATGTAAAATCTTTGCATGCTGAGAGCATTCACTGGCTGCATTACAGCAGTTGTTTGCTGGGCTATTTCTGTCCTCTGTGCCTCTCACCCTCTCATTGTGTCAGCAGTGTAGGAGGGCAGGACCTTGAGGTCTCATAGTGATCCAAGATAAGGCAAAGGGAGAGGCACCAGCCTCTGGGAAAAATGAGCAGGACTATATCGATAGAATTAGTTTATGATTACATACTGTACTCTTAAGCAGTTGTTGCAGAAACATGGTTTGTTCACTGTTGCTCTGATTTATACAGTAATGAGCAGAGCAACAGTCTGGTGAATGCATAGTCAGGAGTTGCTAATAAGCACAAGGTCCCCATTTTTAGAGTGCGTTGTTCAGTTTTGCTCTTCCTGTTCCAGGTAACAAATTTATGTACTTGGTATCCTCTCCCTGTCGTCGTCTTCTCTTTAAGCTCTTGGAAAAAGTTAGTTTTATTTTTCATTATTGTAAGCTCTGTGTCATGACTGTTTTAAGTGTGCTTTCTCAGAATAACACAAGACATTGCTATCATTCCCAGTTTCCCTTTTGCAGTGCAGCCTTCAGTCTGCAGGGTGGCCATACCGTTACTATACCATCAATTTAATAAATATTGGTTGTTAAAGTATACCAAATTCATTATCTATAGAAGCGTTTGTAGTGGCAGAAAAAGGCATTCAGCATCTTGTGGCTTAAATTGTGTAAGTCAGAACGTGATCCGTAGATTTTAGCTTTCCATTGCCTTTATTTAAGTCTGTATTTTCAATTAATTCTAGTAGTTCCAGGTTAAATTAAAATAGGGAAGAGCTTTTTCTGTGTCGTTGGCCTTATTTGGATCCCATGTACTGGGGCTATAGGCTGAAATGTTGACATATGTTATTAGACTAATGGTGGATTCGAGCTTTACTTGGAGACTGCTGAGCCAAGCAATTCTGTATCGTTTATGTCATTGATCAACTTGGAATCGATTCAGAATTGCATTCAGACGGAAGGACCCACTGTTGAAATTCACCCATTCATTTTCTCACTGTTTCATCCAATGCAGGGTCGCAGGGTCGCCAGAGCCTATCTTGGCAAGCAATGGGTGCAAGACAGTTTACACCCTGGGCAGGATGCCAGCCCAAATCAGGGCACGCACACACACACCAGGGCCAGTATGCCTTTGGACTAGGGGCGGAGCGGTGGCTCTGTGGCTGAGGATCTGTGCCTGTGGCCGGAAGGTTGCTGGTTCAAATCCTGCTTCCGGCAGAGGGATCCTAGCAAGGCCCTTAACCCCAACTGCTCCGGGGGCTGTGTATAAATGGCTAACCCTGTGCTCTGAACCCTAAACCAAGAAATTGTATATGGCTAATAAAGTGATCTTATCTAACTGGAGCATCGGGAGAACATACAAACTCCTCAGATTCCCTGGGTCTGGAACTGAACCCAGAGCCCCAGGACAGCAAGGGAGCAGTGCTAACCACTGCACAAAGTGCTTCCCTATTTAAGTCATATACATAAGTACTTATTCTTCCAATAATACTTTAAAAATAATATGAAATAATACAATAAATACTTCAGTACTTAAAAAAATATTTGTATTGGTCTTTAGTGTGTAGTGTTCTGCATTTTACACAATAAAGAGGCCTTGTTGTTTATTATCACATTAATTCAGAAATTCATATAGCACAGTGCTTTTCATGGCAAAGGATCGCAAAGTGCGTCACATGTAGGAGGTGACCTACTTTTCCCACCACTGATTTGCAGCCCCCACCTGGGTGACACATGGCAGCCAAAACACAGCACACAGCCGATCAGGTGCAAATGAGAGAAAATGAAACTTTCAGGGAGGCCGGATTGTACAAGTTCAGTGGGCACGAGGGCGAAACACCACCTCTCTTACACACTGCACTGTGGGATCTTTAATGATCAGTTAGTCAGGACCCTGACTGAGCACCTCATCTGAGGGATTGCTTCAGTGACAGCACAGTGGGCATAATGGGGTTTGATTCTGTTCCGGAGGAAAGATCGCCACCTACTGGTCCACCCACACTACTTACAGCAACAAACTAGTTTTATTGCTGACTGCTGGGTTCAGAAGTGAATTTGCTGGGCAGCTAAGGGCAATTACAAAGACCTAAAAACCTTTTTCAACCTTTTAAAAATGTTTGTCTTGCCAGCAGCCATATCACCATGCAACTCATAGCTGGCAGCCCATTGAAGCTAATCAGGTGTGAGCCTGGTCAGGACCTGGATGGGAGACCTCCTGGGAAAAACTAAGGCTGCTGCTGGAAGAGATGTTAGTGGGGCCAGTAGGGGGTGCTCACCCTGCAGTCTGTGTGGGTCCTAATGCTCCAGTATAGTGACGGGGACACTATACTGTAAAAAGATGCCGTCCTATGGATGGGACATAAAACTGAGGTCCTCTGTGGTCATTAAAAATCTCAGGGCATTTCTTGAAAAGAATAGGGGTGTGACCCCAGCATCCTTGTCAATGACCCCCTGGCCTTTACCTGTCATGGCCTCCTAATAATCCCCATCTCTGAACTGGCTTCATCACTCTGCTCTCTCCCCACCAATAGCTGATGTGTGGTGAGAGTATTGGTGCATCATCCAGGTGGGGCTGCACACTGGTGGTGGTGGAGTGGATCCCCATTACCAGTAAAGCGCTTTGACTGGAGTGTCCAGAAAAGCACTATATAAATGTAAGGAATTATTTCTTGTTAACAATGACCCTGTACGCCGATATTGGGGTGAATTCTCGGTGTCTAGTGTCCTTTCTGATCCTGTTCGTACAGCATCTGGCAAAGAAGTGAACTCCGGATCGGCTTTGTTGTGGTACAGCAAGGTCAGCCCGTAAGCACACATTACAGGTGGTGCCGTCACTTGATAAACGGCAATTAACCATTTTATTAAGATCGCGATTTTCTATTGTACCGTAGATTAAAAAAAAAACGAGAAAGCCCTTATGCTGAAATATGTTTAGGATGGTGATTTAGTTTCTGTATTTAGGTACGATTCTTAGGCATCTCTAGCTTTACGCAGATGACGATAATTATGCATGTGGAATGCGGATTTAATTTTAGCGTTGCATTTAGGTTAGTTGTTTGGTTCCCCTGTCCTGCGAAGCAGGGTTTGGTGACACTGGCTGCGGCGATCAGACGGCGTTTCCTTCGGCTGGCCTGGCCTGGCCTGGCTCGGCCGAGCTCGGTCCTCCCTCCAGCAGAGGGAGGGATTGAAGCAGCTCGCCGTGCCTGGCGCACAAAGCCCGTCCGGGCACTGTTTCTCAGACATAACAGGGGAGGGAAAAAAAAAAGAGAGAGAGAGAAAGTAAGAGAGAAGGGTCAAAGATTGCTTCCTGTTTGTGCTTCTGGCGCTCGCTGGCTGCTTCTTCTTTTGACTATTTATCGCACCGGGGGCTGCTCCTCGCCGTCCTGGTCGCGGGGGAGGGCAGAGCCGGCGAGCCAGCTTGTTCGGGTTGTTGTATTTGCTTTTCACCTCCGGTAGCCGCTGGGCGAGCTGCCAGGGGAGAGCGACACACACACACACACCCGCCCGCCCCTGGCGCACGGCCTGGCCGCTCTCCCCCACCTCCCTCTCCGCCTGCCTGCTGCTCCAACAAGGCCGCCTGCGATTGGCGCTGACTCTCTCTCTCCTGCCCCTTGCAGCCAATCGCGCCGGGAGAAGAGCTGCTAGTGTGGTACAATGGGGAAGACAACCCCGAGATAGCAGCTGCAATAGAGGAAGAACGGGCCAGCAGTTTGAGCAGGAAAAATTCGCCCAGGGCCAAGAGAGGTAAGCCCCGATGCTCCTTGTCTTCCAGGCCCGCGGCGCCCCTCGCCGTGGCCGGGGAGCCCTCGCCCCCCGGTCCCCGCCTCCGCCTCGGTCCGGTCGCGGTCCGCTCTGGACGACCCAGCGGACGACGGCGAGAGAGACGCCGAATTAAAACGTCAGTCAGTCAGCCAGCCAGCCAGCCCGCCCGCCCCCCTCTTTTTTTTTTTCTCCCTCTCCCGTGGTGTAAAGTTATTGTCCGCCGCCTTGACGGCTTCGAGGAGGCGGCGGCGGTGTCGGTGTCAGCGGCGGGCGGCGAGAGCCGGGAGTCGGGGTGACCTTTTCCAGACTCCGGCTGCCAGCTGGCCGAGCGGGGCGCCGTGTAAGGGGGACTCGGCGTCTTGTGCTGCTCCGCAGGGTCGCTGCCAGCCCTCCAGGCTGCCTTTGACTGGTTCTTCCCTTTAAACACCACTGTTTTTTGACCCGGACGGCTGGGGTTGGGGCTTCTTGAGGGCTTTATTTATTTAAATAGTCGTTCACAGTCTGGGAGTGACGTCGCGTCCCCCCGTTCCGTCGTTTTGGCCTCGGCGGCCTTCAAAACGCGCAGATTTGTGCCGACAAGTGGCAGGTTTTTTTTTTTTGCTGTAAAAGCCCGTGAACCAGCTTATGAAATTGTAAACACGAGCAAGGCCCTGTCGTTGCTCTGAGTGCGCGGTGTGAATTGCACAGCCTGCCGTGCTTTACCTGCGCAGGTCTTGCCGCTTTTTTCCTCCCCAGTGTTGTCTGCTCCTGGTCTTCATTACACTGACAAGTTTAGGAGGCTGTTGCATGTCAAATGTTGCCCGTTTGCAGGATTGGGGCGACATGCAAGAAGGTGAAACGTGTTTGAAAGGAAATCGTTGAAGTCTGATCAGTTACGTGCTTTTGTTTTTCGAGTGCTGATTTTAGTATCTTCCTCACCACTACCTTTTGAGCCGATGCTTAACACTATTGGGGACGATATAAAAGCTGGTGCTCGGGAAGAGTTTGCTGTTGATAGTTATCATATTTTTTACACGGAAGGCACGACATGAACCAAAGCTGAAAGTTTTCTCGTAATTTGAGCTAAAAACAGAACGGAAAGGTTACACTTATGGGTCACTCGCCAGGCAGAAGGTATCATTCAGTAAAATGTAGAGCTGGAGTATATACACCGGTTTCAAAGGAAAGTAGAGCACTGCATTAATATTCATAACAGCCCCCGAGAAGTTATAGTGTATACAAACCAGACACACCCCTTCCAAACTGTGCAGTTTCAGTGTGTTTTTCTGGGTATGTTTACAGACCTGCAGTCTCCAGGATTAGGTTATTTGACTGGTTCTTCGGAGTCTCTCAGTGGCGGCTGGCTGTTTGTTGCTGCTCAGTTGTGGGTTTGCAGTGTCTGTTGTCTTTTGCTGCAGGGTGATGTTACTGCACCAGGTGAGTGGGTATTCTAACGCAGGGGCAGTGCTGTGAGGGTTTATGTGGTGGTTTTGGGCAGCTCTTGTGCTCCGAAGCAGTGTGTGTCCTGCCCTGTGGGCTGTGAGAGACCTTTGAGTCTCTGTGAATCACATTGTCTCGGTGTACTAGCAGTTAAAACCTGCAGTTATTGGAAGAAAGGAACAAGGGTGTTTTTTCCCCCCTCTGGAAGGACACAAAGTCCTCAGTCAGGCCACATCCATTGAGCGCTGCTCTGGAAGTTGAATATTAAACTTGATAAGAGAGAGAAATAGCTGCAGTCACTCAGATACACTTAGAAATGTCTCTGGAATACGCTTCGGAAAACGCTCATGATTATTTGTTATTTTTAAAGGCGGCACTTTTACCTTGTATACATATTTACAGCTTGTATCTTCAGTAGCTTTTCTTTAATCCCTTTATTTTACCTGCTACTTTAATGTAAGCCAAGTTCTCATTAGCCACTGTGACCTAGAGCACCATTTATAGTGCAGCATTTACTGAGCAATTAGAAGGAAGTTTCTTGCTCAGGAGTATGATGGTGGTGTTCTACCTGGGATTTGAACCCGTGACCCTCTGGCCCAGAGTCTGGAGTCTTTCGCACGGCTACCTCAAGCTAATGCACTTAAATGTCTAAACTGTCATTTCCCGGAAACAAAGTGAGTCTTCATCAGAATACGATTGTTTCAGGCCCTGTGTTTATGTTGAGATGAGTGTTTTCATGTTAAAATGCTGTCATTTAGAAAACGAGCTCTAATTTTAGGTTACTTCACACTAGTCTGTTTTTAGCAGGACAGCTACAGACAGTCCCAAGTTGCAAAAGGGAGAGGCCCCGTGCTGTGAGCTTCTGATGTGGGGGGGGGTGGGAAAGATGCATGACATCGATTTCATGTAAAAGATTAGGTGAGGTTTCTTGTGTTGTCCTGCATGGGTCTCTTGTCTTTGTCTCCAGCGAACTCTGGGCACCATGTTAAGGTCATGGATCTGTTTTAACCAACTTGATCTGCAGTTAACTAAAAGAAAAGAGTGGATTCAAGCTTGCTAGAATTAGCAGGAAAAAGAGCAGGGCTCTGCGATCATTAAACTTATCGGACCTTTGTACAACAGTTCCTCTGCTCATGTAAAACTAATTGTGTTCCACTATTCTGTCAAAGAAGAAAGATATTCAGCAGTATCCTTGCCTCTGGAAGCAAGGAATGGTCTAGAAAGAGACACTTTCTAGGGAGCAGCTCTGTGTTGTTTCTTCACGTGTGGTGACAGTTGGACAGTTTCAATTGCAGCCACAGCTGGTGAGTCAGATACAACTCAAAAAACAAGCAAAAGAGCCTTTTAGAATGAGATGCATCGGGTAAATACATGATGTTGTGTATATTTATTTGGCCAGATTAATGGGTAATTTCATCACTAAACGACCACATTCGAAGGAATGTATTCTTCTTCAAGTCAAGCATGATATGTGTTTGGCATTTAGAACCCACCAGTGGTATTGTTCTGAATTTCAGAGGGAAACAGATGCAGTTACTCACTTTTCTACCTGCTGTGTAGTGGGCTGCTGGTCCATAATGGCCACCTCCTGTCACCCAGGCCCTACAGCACCTCAGTGGTGATGAAGTGGGTCCACTTCTGTAGTTAAAGCACTCTTTAGGATGACAGGAGCTACATATATAGATGCCATTTGTCATGGGGGCTCTTTTTGACAGGGTGCTCTGTGCTTTGCTTATATAAGAGCCGTTTACAGGTTGGGGCTGCGGCGTGCATGGTGGTGACAGTGGAAGGAACACAATTACACCAAAACCGACAGTTCTGGTGCAGTTAAAACCACACGGAATGAGTCTGGTGTCCTCTCTAGTTCTCCGACACCGTGCCCAAGGTAGAGCACTGCATTTACTGTGTCCCTGCAAAAGATTCAAGGCTTGCAAAGAGGTGAAGTAAAACCCAGCTATTGAAACCTTTCTGTGAGAAAGTTACACATTTTGCAGGGGATTAAAACACTTCGCAGCTGGGATTGTCAGATGTCTCTGGTTCAGGTTGGATTTTAGAAAGTAGCCTTGCTTCTCGGTCTGGCTGTGTGTCTTCTTTCAGTGGATCAGTGCTGATGTTACAGATGTTAGTGTCAGTATTCCAGCCTGGCACTTCAGAAGCAACATGATCATTTTCATGAGCCTGCCTGATGAAGATGGGTATTGCTTTAATGCGTAAATTATGGAGCATGTATTTGTTTTATTTTTAAACCAACAAAAATACTTGTCAGGAGAAACATTCTTCATGTTTCATAGGAAATGTAACTTACCCAGATTTAGCTCCAAAACGTTTAGCCTAATCTTGTCTGTTGTACAAATTAAACTTTTAAGTGTGTACCAAAATTGTTGAAGATTTTTTCAAATATTTTTTGGCTGCGATAAGTATGTATTTACAAAATACCAGCATTAACCACCAAGTGTCTTTCTTTAGTTGTGTACTTTGTATGTCCGAGATGTGACCACAGTATCTCCACCTATTTGTATGTAAAAAGACATGAAGAAGGCAGACTCATCAGTTATCAGTTATGATTCTTGCAATGACCCAGCCTGGATTCTGGTATCTTTTATCTGCATTTTAGCAGAAGCCATTTGCCCCATTTATGCCTTTTGGTACCGAGTAGCTAATCGATCAAAGGTTGATTCTAGGTGTCTTGAGAGACGTCAGGGTATCATCTTCAAAAACATGACTGGGGTAGCTTGCAGACTCCTGCAACCTTTTATATAAGGAAGATTCTCCTGCTCTCGGTCTTAAATACTCTTTTACATAGTTTCTCCTTGTGCCCTCTGCTCATTCTGAATAGGTCCGCTGGTTTAACTTTATCGGTGCCATTTAGGATTTTGAGTACTTGCATCAGATTTCCTCTGAATCATCTCCATTCAAGACTAAAAAATGTCTGTCAATGTCAGACGTCCCTGGGGGCTGTGGAATGTATCTCTGGCTCTTCACTTGAGTAATTCCAGAAGCTCTGTATTGTTTTTTATAATGTCCAGAATAATATTATTTGCAATATTCTAGAGCAGCATATTACATGCAATATTTAAAATGCAGGATACGCCCTCGATGGGTCACCAGTCCATCTCAGAGCACACGCAGACACAAACGTTCACACCAGCACGAGTTTAACTGGAAGTCAGTTGATCTACCGGTATGTCTCTGGACTGTGGGAGGAAACTGCGAACATGGGGAGAACATACGAACTCCACACAGACAGCACCTCAGGTTGAGAATCGAACCCGTGCTCGAGCACTATGTGGCTGCAATTAAAAAACATATAGGACTGCAAGCCTGACAGCAGTACAG